AAAAACGAAATTCAATATTGGTTGAATATTATAATTCAACATGAAGATAATATTGCAAAATAATCACATCCTCATTTTAGCCAATATAGTAAGGGAATATGAATTCAATATCGATTTCACATATGAAAATTATAAGAAACCAGTTTTCTATAAGTTGGCATCATATATTTGTTCAATCTTGTATACGAATATTAACTCGATATTGGATAGAGCATATCGAAACAAGATTGAAATTCAACATAGCACCAAGATTCCAGAATGTTCACATTGATTTATTGACCCAATAATTAAAATTAATATTTTCCCAACATTCACCATTTATTGACTCAATATTGAACCAATATTAGTGTTCTACCTGGGAAGTTATTCTCGAATGCCCTCAGGAAAGTTTTGAAGCTGGTGACAGAAGCTTTAATAGTACCTCGTTTTCGAATTAAGGATTTGAATCGTACTTCTGACATTTTAAGAATTGAAAACTTCTTAGCGCAAATAGAAATTATTACAGGAATACGTGAGTAATTGCCTTGAATTGAATTGCTCAAAATTGTACCCCTACTCACCCTGTCTTCACGCTAGAAGCCTCTAACTTGACTGAACTTTTTCAAATCCGGCTCGAAGGACCATGTTTGATTTGTGGACTGTATTTGGTTGAATTTCTATTGTGAACTTTATAGTTGAGTTACTTTTGAATAGATTTCTTTGAAGAAATATGAGATTGAAGTAACTCTCGATTGATTGACAATTCGTGTCTAATTTTTTATTATGTACATCACTATGACATTGATATATTCAACAGAGTGTTAACAAGATATAAAAAACTATGAACTAATCCTTCTTGAACATTTGGGGGGAATGTTAATAAACTATGTTATGTTTTATTTTTGAACAAACAGTTACAATATTTTCCCCTTTTCATGATATTATATATTTTATTATGGAAATCGATTTAAGACCTGATGGATAGAATATACAATTCATAGTTTTACATGTTTCTTGTTACAGAAACAATAGGGAGCAGTTTCAGATTAATAGAATACTCCATAGCATTCCTTTTTGTTGATCGTGAAGATCGGCTCATCTTGCAAGGATGTCTATTTGAAAACGCATAGTAAAACCAGTAATCAGTGTGTACGAAATGTCATACCATTCGTGCGTATGTTCCTTGTGTCGTGAGGACCTTATCAAAGAACGAGGAATTCGAACACTAATTGAAGTGAGCCAAAAACATGGTCTCACAGAAAATAAAAATTTCCTCAAACATTGCAACCAAGTCAGCGCTCATGATGCATGTAGAAAGAGATATACAGCTCTGTGTAACGTTGAAGCCTCAGTTCGTCGAGGAGGGGATTCTGCATATCTCAACCGAAGACTTCATCGATAAGATTTTCTAGTAAACTAGCTCCTACCTTGAGAGGGATTTGTTTGGTGATGCTTTCACTGAAGAATTTCTTCAGCAACAAAGCAAGTTGCCCTTGGCAAGAAGAAATGTGGTCCATACAGTTGAGAAATTGGACATGAGGCAAACTGTTTTAAATGCAGCTAAACGCCTAGGTGACGATTATGGAAGGGCCATTGAGGAACGCCTTCTCGCCATTGACGATCTGGTTGCTGCAGACGAAACGTACCACAGATTGTGCTACCGAAGCCTGTTCAGATCACCACCTGCTACTGAGCAGAATAAGAGAGGATATCGTCCAGCCATTGATACTGAAGAAGCAATGGAAGTGTGTGTACGATTACCTATTGGAAAACAGTGATGAATGCCAGTTTTCTTCATCACACCTTCTCCAGCAAACTAATGGTGAATGTATTCCTGATATCAGAACAGCGAAAACTCACCTCCAAAAACGTTTTGGCAATGACATAGTCATAGTAGAGATGGGCTCTAACAAAGGGGCACTCGTCTGCTCTGAAAATACGATCATTGGTGCAAGGAATAAGAAGGCGATACGTATAGCAAGAGCGATTAAGAGTTGTGAAAGCAGTAGCAGAAATCATCGTGGAAGATATCCTGCTCTGATAGCTGTTGTACGACCTCGATCTTTTGTTTCCTCCCTTCTGATTGGAATTGGTACCTACTTTTTCCGCAAATTTGGATCCAAACATCTTGTAAATATGTGCGCTGCGCTGGAGTTCTCCTGTTCTTATTCAGCAGCTGTGCAGCTTGAAACTTCGACGATTTTACGAGATGAATCCTCACCACCAATAGAAAAAGGAGCTTTCATCCAATTTGTTTATGATAATGCGGACGTGAACTTAAACACGCTGGATGGAAATAACACATTTCATGAGATGGGAGGCATTATGTGCTTGACTCCATCTAGAGCAGTAATGCGAGACAAAAACATCCCACGTATACAGAACTATGTTCCTGCTCAAAATGTAACCTCCAGCAGTGAAGTACAAATCAGAGATTGCATTGTTAAAAAAACAGGTGATTAGCAGCATTCATGGTTGGAAATTTGCGAGGAAACTATGAAATTGACGGTGAAATTTTGTCCTCGGCTCCTGACCTAATATGGAAAGTCGCTCAATAAACAGTCGATACCAGGATGGAATGGATTTATGGAGCAAGCCACAGATGGACTTCAGTTTTCACACTCAAAAATTATTTTTCTTCCATTTATCCGTGCCCCTTTCACTGACTACAATACGGTGTTCACATCATTCATGGAAGCCAGCAACCGAAGTTAAGCTCATGGCCAGAAAATCACGTTCGTCACTTTCGACCAGCCATTATTCATAAATGCAAGAGATATTGTCGAGAATGGACTTTACCCGGAGTTGAACACTGTAGTTGTACGGCTTGGTGGATTTCAACTCCTACTGTCCTTTATGAGATGCATTAGCACGTACACACAATAATGGGTGGTAGTGGTCTGAAAGAGCTACTAAGCACCATCTACGCAGGCAACAGTGTTGACAAAATTGATTTCAATTCTTTTCGCTGGAATTTGTCCAGTTTTTCCGCTTTCATGTGCCTTTTATTATTGCCTATATTCTTGAAGCACTCGAATTGTCGCTATATTATAGATAGATAGATAGATAGATAGATTTATTTTAAGAAAAAACGTCCAAATTAGGCTAAAGTACATAAATAAATAAATATCGTAGGTATAAAACAAACATAATAATATACAAGATTTCACAGGTACATAAACATAAAAAGTATATGAACGTCTACTCGAAAACATTATTTATCAGTCAGCGATGATTGGATCACAGAAGAATTCATCCAAGGTGTAATAAGATTTTTTCAGTCTCAAAATAACGTTTTTCTACTCACATAACTAAAATGGCATTTAGCGTACGGATATGTACCACGCTAAATGATCGATTAATCACGGATTGTCGATCTGTGATTTATTCAGAATATTAAACACGTTACCATGGCAACACGATTCCTTAAACACATTACCATGGCAACACAGTTCATTAAACATAGCTTCAGTAATTTGAGACACGTCTGGCCTGTCAATTGTATTAACTGTCAACTGTTATTTTCAAATTTTGTATCAGAATTATTCAAACAATATTCGTTTGTATCAGAATTCTTCATTAAAAATATATGCGGAATGTAGACGAAAGTGAAATCGAAGAAAATGTTCTGGTACTTGCATATCTCCAAGGAGTGTAAAAATGAAGCATCCATCTTTGAGAACAATTCAGCGCAATAGCGCAGCATGACAAAAAACGTGAAACAAAGGTTAGTAAGCAATGGACTAGACACATCTACAACCAATATCACTTATACGTGTCTCGCTGGTTGCATGCAGTCGCATGTATTATGTTCTCAATTCCCATTCCTTTCGAATTATTTTGTAGGTTAGCAGGAATAGCAGGTATGTTAATGTAATTTTCGGAGTTCGTAGAAAAAGCATAGTATGTAACGCGTTTATAAACTCTTCTAGACACTCGTTTATTAAACACTCGCTCCGCTTTGCTCCGCTCGTGCTTAAAATACTCGTTACTAAAAGGACGTTTATAACACTTGTTACATAATATACTATTATGATTAAATACAAAACAGGTTACTTCATAAAAAATGTAAAGGGAAATCATTGTCAAGATACCCAGTTTTTTTAAATATTCCCTGCATGAATCTCTTGCTCTCAGATTTCCCAAGATACGCAATGCCCTTTTTTATGCCCTTTTATATAACTTTGGTAATCTCTGATTAATCTAAATTTACCTCTATTTTCAGTGTTTTCACTTGTTTTTGCGCGGTACAACGAAATAGAGTGAAAATAAATCAAATTCGGGAAGTGATAAAGAAATACAGGAGACGAATACACAAAAATAATTGTATTTCTTCAAGCGTCGTAGGCAAGGTATAGCCGGCTAGGACTACAGGGTGTTTATAATCTGAGACGAGACTGCGAAATATAATTTGATATAGGTACCATATTTTCATCATTGTTGGAGATTGAGTAGCCCAGATACGAACTAAGTTATAGATCGCTTCCTGTTTGAAAAACTGAACTAACATGAACGCTGGTTCGACACGATCACATATTGTTGTTACATTTGATGATTAGATATTCAAAATATAGCACTAGTTTTTCTGGACCACCTAACCTATTCTCCTAGGAGGATAAATCCTGAACAAAAAATTAATGAATCATTAGGACGTTTTTCACGAGTGTTCCTTCGTCGGTATTCATAGTCCAATGTCAATAGATGATTTGATTAAACAAATGTATATATAGAACCCACATGGTTCATGGTTCGACCTCACTGATAAACTGAATGTTCTCGTGTCAACATGGTGTATTCATCAGGATCGTCTTGGGGATGTCTACCGATTGTTGAATCATTTTTGTTTCCCAATAAAACAACCCTGTATATAAATGTCCTATATTTCATTAATGCAATTGATGAATAGGTTTATGGGAACTCAAATGAAAGTGGAAATCATCATTTTGACTCGTAATGATTCAATTATTAGTTCAATACATTAAACAAATACAAGTTATCTGATGGTAGGTATACCTATGTAATTACTCATTTTTCTTCAACAAAGTGTCATTCTCATCTTCGTATTTATAGACACAAACCACATAGCCTTTCTTCTTGTTCTTTTTATTCTTCTTAGGCCTCTCAATCATCTGAACATTCGTTTTGCTGATCTGATAATCTGGAATAAGAAATAAGTCTGATGAGACGGATAAAAAATTAGTTTCGTAAATTGTAGTTCAATCTCGTGAGATGATTCAATTCTTCTACAGCCTTCTGAGTCTTATTATTGATATCGGAAATGAAATAAAAATAATTCAGATAACGTTCTTTTCTACAAATAAAAATTCGCACTGCCAACTGGATGGGGGATGGGGCGAGTTTTGATATTTATCCTTATAATTAATTATCTGCAAATTTATATACCGTGGAAAATAAGCTTGTACACGAGTTCGTGGGGTTGATGATCAGTCCTAGAATAGGTTCTGTCGTCTGTGAGGTTTTGCTCCAATCAATAAATTTAATGTAGTAAGGGGAAATGGTCATTTGTGTCACCACTTGAAATTTCATTTCGGAGTATCTAAATCCTATAAATTTCATATAGTGAACCTACCTCGGAGTATACCAATTCGGTTGTGAATTACAAAAGTAAATATATTTCATTGAACCGTAGATGATCAGAAAATTACAGGAGAGCCGTGAAAAATAAGCAGATCCGCATTAAGTCAGACAGTCAAGCGGTACTGAAGGCAATAGAAAGCTAGAAAGTGACATCTCGACTGATATGGGATTGCAAGAGGGAACTGAGAACTTTGGCAGACCAGAACTGCGTCTAGCTAATCTGGGTGCCAGGACATCAGGAGATCGCTGGTAATAAGAAGGCTGATGAACTTGCAAGAAGAGGATAGGACAACGAGCCAGATTCAGGACAGATCCTTGAAGTACCAAAACGTACAGCATGAGTGTCAGTTAAATACTTGATTCAGCCAAGCATAATAGCTACTGTAAAAACATCCCAAGAAACAGACATGGTAAACAATACATTAAGGAACCAAGTCATGAACGAACTGTAGACCTGCTCAACTTGACCAGAGTACAGATTAAAACTATTACGGGGCTCATGACTGGCCATGCGCCAGTGAAGCAGTACCTCACCAGAATGGGACTTTATAATGGCGACCTAAGCTGCAGACTGTGCGGAAAAGAACCAGAAATAGTATCACATATACTGTGCAGATGCGAGGCTTTTGACCGCAAACGACAGAAGATTTTTGGGCAATCCAGTGGAGGATCTGTACAGAGACTTGTTATACGACGCTATACATAGTGGAGTATACTACGGCCTTGCCAAAAATGCTATCTCGGAAACTAAGCGAGATAGAGGTATAGTTTCTTTGGAGAAAATGATCCCCATCGAATTTTGAGCAACTATGGTTTTTGTGTGTGGTCTGTCTGTCTGTCTGTCTGTACTCTGTGTTAATCATAAATCGATATATCTCCGGAACCCTTTGACATATCGACTTGAAATCTTGCCATCTTATTGTACTCAAAACAATATTATGTCATTGAAATATGAATAGGAAATCGGAAAACTCTAAGGTGGTTTTTCCGGGTTTTTTCGATTTTTCACCAAAAGTTTCTTGCGACCACTCTACAAATCGCAATAGTGGTCCGATCGATTTCATTTTCTGTGAAAAATAACTCTATCAGGTCGAAACGAAGCCTATTGAAATTGAGCAGGGTCGGAAAATTCCAAGTGGGTTTTTTAAGGAGATTTTCCGAAAAACACGGTTTGCTTTGAAACGATATATCTCCTGAACCAATAGACCAAATCCAAATTTGAAAAATGCACCGTATGCCTCTTTGATGACGCAACAAATTATTATTCAACCATTTTTTCTTGCATCCATCGGAAAATGGAAAAACAAATAAAAATCAAAACATCAAAATTTGAAATCCTTTCAATTCAATATATATCGAAAACAAATGGGGAAATCGAAAATAATCAGAAGTGCAAAGTTATCCACTGGAACATTTCCTACAAATTATTTCTCATAATTTTTTCTGTAAACCCGATAGTACAGGAAATAAAGTGAAAAATATGAACAAAAAAATTTTAACGACCCATAGGGTACTATGAAGATATATTGAAAAACAAAGATCATCGATAGATGAAGCTCATCGACTTCCACTGATCCATGAAATATTTTTTCATTTTGTTGATTGGAAGATGGAACAAAAGTGTTGAAAATTTTATTCTCAGATAATTCCAAATATCTCGAAAACAACTGAAAATATCTGAAAATGTTATAGAACCAAAATTATTCCTTTTGATAGAATCTACAAAAAATTCCCATAACATTTTTCTCTGAATTCAATAGTTCGGGAGGTACGATGAAAAAACTAAAAAATTCACAAGTTCCTAGATAATCACTTGCCAATAGAAAACAAAACAAAAAACAAAAGAAAATGAAGAAAGCACACTCGACTGTCTTGATTTTTTTTCTCATAAACTACGTACCTAGCTCACTCGACTGTCTTTATTTTTCGCCAATAAACTAGGTACCTAACTCACTCGACTGTCTTAATTTTTTGCCCATAAACTACGTACCTAGCTCACTCGTCCGTCTTGATTTTTCGCCAATAAACTACGTACATAGCTCACTCGACTGTTTTGATTTCCCACAAAGAAAAACTATGTTGGCATTGTTTTAACTTTCTTTTGTTTTTGTTTTTTTAGTCCCTATTGGCAGTCGAGTGGGCTAGGTACGTAGTTTGTGTGAAAAAACCAAGACAGTCGAGTGGGCTAAGTACGTAGTTTGTGGGAAAAATCTCCAGTTCTCTGAACTTTCATAGCGTCGTATACACATCTTTGGTGCCCAATGTTTCAATATAAAAATATGCTGATGATATGGTGCGATGGCCTCTACTTCCATACATGAGCAATGATAAAATATCATCTGCTTTTATAGCGTCGTATAAATTATCTGACCTCTATACTAATCTAATACCTAATGAAAACTACATCTATACTAATCTGATACCTTTCAAAAACTACGTACCTCACTTGTTCAAGGTACAGAGATAATGGAGTGGGCACAATAATAAACTACTAGGTAAGATACAATGGGCCACCAGACCTAAGTGTTGTCGGAGACATTGGTCGGACGAGCCTACAAGCAGGGTGGAATGTTTAGTGAGTATATCCTGACTAGATTCAGGGGACTCCCACACACAATGATATGGGGGATAAGATCCATATGATACCCATAAAGGATTTCAACAACCTCGAAAAAAAAAAAGACGAGATTTCCAATGAAATTACGTCACAAATTACCATACTTTCTCTGCCGCGTTTTTCTATCAAAGAAACCTTCAATACAAATACCCTAGAGTAATCTTGCTCGATACACTCAACCCAATGATACTCAAATGTGAAATAAAATGCTTCTGAGCACAAATTGATAAGAATTTCATGTTGTTTCAATCATTATAGCTCTGAAAAGTTATGATTTCAATAATTCATCATCTGTTGAATGGTCTTCTATGCAAATAATTCGTTTTGTTTTCAAGCATGACAGCTATAGCATCGTTCAACAATACCTCCTCTCCATGTATCGTATTGTATACATAAAGGGTGAATACACTGCGACCTGAAAGGTCTATTGTGCCCCCCCCCTTCTCTTGCTATACACGGTGAGGTTGTTTTCCGTTGCTATAGCTATTTCTAAGGCCTATATACCTCAGAAATTTCAGGTTATGGGGTGGTTCCAAGTAGGGTAGTTTCTCCTCCTCTATTATTCCAGATAGCACATACGTCAATTTTCGGTCTGAACGTCCCAGGACCTTGCATGGATATACTCGGGACGTCCAGAAAAAGACGTCTTTGGAACGTCCAATTCACAGACTCTTACGGTATATCAGTTTAAATGAATATAAGTAGGTAAGGTAGGTATTTATTAAATTTGTTTCTCCTTGACCAGAGATAAGTAACCCCTGACAGGGTTGCCATCTTTTTGTTTTGTTTGTCGCTAAATCTCAGGTTAGGTGAATGCGACATTTCAACTTGATTTGCGACGTGTCGGAATTCTAGCGTTTTCAAAATAGTCATAGCGGTTTATATATAGAGATATTCTGATCACATGAATTGGTGATGACGGATATGAATTCACATTGGAACATTCGAGACGAAGAGATAAGAAGAGAAGGGAATGACAGATGACAAGGTTTGTTTTCATCATTTGTGCCACTTTTACTACTTTTGAATAATATTTTGTCATTTTTGTATATTCGATATGGTTTGACTGTCTTTATTGTGATCTTTTTGTAACTACCTACCTACCTTTTCCTCAATTGGATTACCCCCTCCCCCAGAGTAAGTGGCCAAATACGCCACTGTTTCCAAGTTTCCAATATTCGCACTGTAGATTTTTCATTCATCATCATTTTGTATATCAGATGGGTTAATGCACTAGTAGAGAATACACCCAATTTCCCAAATGTGTCGTTATATAGGGACTTGTAATAATTTTTGCATCACCTCTTACGAGTTTTTTATGTAAATAATCTGTCTTAGCGTTGTTCGAAATTGTTGAATTTCAGAGCTCATTTCAAACGTGCATAGATAGCCGCCATTCGACCATTTGGGATACGTCCGATATATGGTGACGTCAGTTCTTATGCTGTTTTATTATTGGTCAGATAATCTTCCATTTCCACTCATGAAGCAAGGTTGTCAGATCACCAATTATAATCAAACTATAAGTTGTTAGAGTTCTATATCGTTGAATAAAACAACATCCGAATGTAATATTTCATTCGACCTAATAGGAGGGAGCCATGATATTGTAGTTATTGATTTGTGAGTTTTTCAAGCAACCAGCTTGTCCAAATATTTCTTATACTATATAACAATAGTGTATTGTTTAACGAACACAGAATGATAGACATTCCTCACGAGAATGAAGTTTGCACTAGAAACTAGCATTCCGTGCGAGTTATACACTATACTTTTTCTGCGGCTTTAACAGATAACAGCGAAATTTTCGATTCCTTTTGAACGATATCACTTGATTGGATTTTCCGTGGGCAGGAATGTTTGTGACCACAATAATCAATTGATGAGTTGATGTTTCATTCATTTCCTGAGGTCTGAGGAAAAAATAATAATTTGAATGCATT